CAGGTAAAGGCTTTACCATTAAGCTATGCTCCCATCCCCTCACAAGAGGGTCTAGACCAGCTCTCCATTACTGATACAACATCCACAGGCCAATAAATAAGTTTCAACAGATAACCTGTAGGCAGATTTTGTGGCCCACATGCCATAGGAAAAGAAAATATTCCAAGTTTCCTGAACCTGGCTGTGGTTCTGAGACTTCTTGGTTGATTGCTATAGACATGATCTGACCCTAAATCAGGAAACACAGTAAAAGGAAATCTTGTTTTTAGGAGGCTAGAAAAGTAATCACAGAGGCCCCCTGAGGACTTACTACCATTGTGTTATCATCGAGATTTGTGTCCTGTGAAGCAGTGAAGATTCCAGATAGTCTCTAGACTGATCAGGATTTAGATTTGAAAGTAGATAGAAGGATAACTTCCCAGGAGAAAACTGTGGATTGCTTAGCAGAGAACAGCAAGTGATTAGATGCTGGAGGAGGGCACATTTAGCAATATCTGTCACATTTGGAATGACAAAGGAAGGACTCAGGGTCAGACACAGCTAGGCTAAAATCTGTTCTTTCACTATTTGTATAGATTTCTGGTATCATATTTTCTCTTAACATCATTCTAATCTTACAAAGATAAGAAATAATGAACCTTTTAGAATTCTTATATAGATTATATAGATAAATCTAAATTCCATAGTAATTACACAATACATGGTTTTTAAGGAGAGGCCCACAAACTCCACCAAATCTCATTAGGACTCACCCTCTATCTCACACAACATGAAGCTGTGCAGTCACGTACACTCTTAGTATAACAATGAGTGAGAAACTTCAAAACAAGAAAGAGCAATGACAGGCACTAGTTTGAAGGTAGAGACGTTATCCACTTCCCACTAACTTCCTCTCTTTGTAGAATCACAAGGTAGAATAGATTACCAAGCAGTGGTAGCAGTCATTCGATCTCCACTTCAACAATGGGCCAAAGCCAAATGCCTTAGGTGAACAGAAATAATAGGCAAACAAGGGGTCAAGGATCCTCACAATGAAAAGAAGCAGAAACTTGAAAACTGTCTAAATCTGGGGTTGAAAGAAGGCAGTGAGTTTGGAAGGTGGAGGAGACCTTGGCACCATTATTCAAGTCCTGGTGTAATCATATTTTGAACTCAAGACCATGTAAGTAAGAAGTTAGATATGAAGAAAACTGCTTCTGTAATGGGAGCTGTGTCTTGAATGCCCCTTTATGTTTAAGCATCCCTCACACTGCAGTTAAGGTCTTTCTACTATATAAGAATCCAAGACAATGAGAAGCATCACCAGCTACCTTTCTTACACATTAGCAAAGGGTATAAATGTGACCTCAGTTTTGTTATGATATTAACTGGACTGTGTTTTCACCTCCCATTTTTTTGTAAAATTGTAAGTGTATCATAGTAATCAGTACTCAAAAGTAGCATCTGGACTACCACAAATTTGAATAAAGGGTCATCTTATTTCCATATGTATACCTCCTGTTTCATAAATCTTTGAAAAAATTGCCTTTGATATCCACAATGCAGAGCCCAGTGGGCTGCTACTCATTCTTTGGTTCAGCCAACTCTAATATCTCTTATCTGTCTATCTGTCTGTCTGTTTCTATCTTTCTCTGTGTCTATCTCTTCTTTGTGTCTGTCTGTTTTTTAGTCTGTGTCTTTTTCTCTCTCTGGAGTGTACAGGTCTTTGTTAAAAAAAACTTTTTGATTATACTTTTGGCAAATCACCTGAATTGTTTCTTTTGTGAATACAAGAACTGAGGGAAAGCCTTCACCAAGGTGTTGTCTACTGATTCCACTGCTTTGCTCGGAGTGCTAAACTCCTATTACCCAAGTTTTGCTATCTCTTCATCCCCTCTGTTCAATGTTGCTGCTAGAGCATGGGAGTTTATTATTCTTTTTTAGTCAGTCTGAAAATCATCAATAGTTTTAGGGATGTGGAAAATGTGGAGAACTATGCCATCTCAGAAGGCATCCAGTAGAGTGCTAGTTTTACATTATTACTGGTAAAATGATCTCCTGTGGTGGGCGGTGGTGTGGATTCTGAATAGGGGTGATGTAAGATGGAGCTACATCTGAGAAATGGCTGTTGTTGAAATTTTTCAGGTGCAGACAGAATGGAAGACGACTACTCCATCCCTCTGAATGGATCAGAAGTGGTGGTCTATGATTCTCTCACATCCAGAGTTCTGTGGATCTTCTCAATGGTGGTCATCTCCATCACTTTTTTCCTCGGGTTGCTGGGCAATGGGCTTGTGATCTGGGTAGCTGGATTTCGGATGGCACACAGGGTCACCACTATCTTTTATCTGAACCTGGCTTTGGCTGACTTCTGTTTCACGGCTATTCTACCATTCCTTATCACCTCATTGGCCATGAAAGCAAAATGGCCTTTTGGTTGGTTCATGTGTAAATTTGTTCACATTGTGGTGGATAAACCTATTTGGAAGTGTCTTCCTGATTGCTCTCATTGCCTTGGATCGCTGTATTTGTGTCCTACATCCAGTCTGGGCTCAGAATCACCGCACTGTGAGCCTGGCTAGAAAGGTAATCATCAGACCCTGGATTCTTGCCCTCATCCTCACATTGCCCATTTTCCTCTTCTTGACTACGGTTAGAATTCCAGGAGGGCATATGTACTGTACATTCAGCTTTGCGTCCTGGGGTGACACTGAATGGGAACGGGTGAATGCAGCTATCACTATGCTAACAGTCACAGGAATCATCAGGTTCATTATTGGCTTCATCATGCCCATGTCCATCGTTGCCATCTGTTATGGACTCATCGCCGCCAAGATCCATAGAAGAGCCCTTGTTAATTCCAGCCGTCCTTTACGCGTCCTTACTGCAGTTTTGGCTTCCTTCTTTATCTGTTGGTTTCCCTTTCAACTTGTGGCCCTTTTAGGCACAGTCTGGCTCAAAGAGTTACTTTTTAGTGGTGGTTATAAAATTCTTNTCTTTGTGTCTGTCTGTTTTTTAGTCTGTGTCTTTTTCTCTCTCTGGAGTGTACAGGTCTTTGTTAAAAAAAACTTTTTGATTATACTTTTGGCAACTCACCTGAATTGTTTCTTCTGTGAATACAAGAACTGAGGGAAAGCCTTCACCAAGGTATTGTCTACTGATTCCACTGCTTTGTTTGGAGTACTAAACTCCTATTAACAATGTATTGCTATCTCTTTGCCCCCTCTATCTAGTGTTGCTGCTAGAACATGGGAGTTTATTATTCTTTTTTAGTCAGTCTGAAAATCATCAATAGTTTTAGGAATGTGGAAAATGTGGAGAACTATGCCATCTCAGAAGGCATCCAGTAGAGTGCTAGTTTTACAGTATTACTGGTAAAATGATCTCCTGTGGTGGGCGGTGGTGTGGATTCTGAATAGGGGTGATGTAAGTTGGAGCTACATCTGAGAAATGGCTGTTGTTGAAATTTTTCAGGTGCAGACAGAATGGAAGNACTGGAGAGAGCCCTGAGTGAGGACACTGCCGAGATCAGTGGTACAGGCACCAATATTGCTTCAGCTTCTCAAGGCATCGAGATAAAGGCCATATGAGGAACGGACTGGGGATGCTTTTTGTTCCACGCCATTTCACTTTTATCTCACCTTATATTGTGATTAGAGTGTTATTAATCTGGAAAAATATTTCTGTATCCCTTGAATTGGGTGAAAGAATAAAAAATCAAAGCTAATATTGCTGTTCTTTTGGGGTTTTTCAATTTAGTGTATATCCTTGTGTAGGACTAAGGTGGCAAAACATTACAAGATAGAAAAATAATAATACATGCACATTTGCCAAAGTAGATAAGATAGTAGATGTCAAAATCAAAATTATACTATTTCAGAGGTTGAAGAGATAATCCAGGAGTTAAGAGAAATTTCTACTCTAGCAGTAGAAATTTAGTTCCAAGTGCCTACACCACCCGACTTAGAGCTGTTTATATCTCTAGGGAATTTAATGACATTTATAAGCATTTATACTCATATGCAGTTTCCTTTACATGAGCACTAATAATTAAAAGTAAAATCCTTAAATATTATTTTAATATTAACAGGTAAAGTTTTGCTGGGCTTTGTG